CTGCAACACAATATTTTGTTTAATATTCTTTATAATAAATATAATATCAGTTGAATGAAATTACAGGCACACATTTCAATATTGAATGCTCGACCTAAATTTCTTATGTTAAATAAGATAATGTACAGTCGAATTGATTAAGCGAGAGTCCAAGGGACCGCGATATTTCTGTCCCTTATAGAAGTTCCCTTTAACCCGAGTTTCCCGGTGTTGGTCATATTTTGGGACAGGACAATGAGTCTCGCTTAATCGCACTTCTTACTAATAATTTAAATGATATTTTTTAAATGGATGGATGTTTGAAGGTGTCTCTAGAACGGCTGAACGGATCCAGATGGAATATGACACAGATGTAGAACTTAGTCTGGAATAATATTGATCAGATTATGGTAAATTTTCGGTAGGATTCCCTATATATCTCTGCCCGCGAACGTTTTTGATATAAAAGAAAATCTCAAAAATATTTATCATCATCTATTGCCTAGTTCACTTTGTATTTAAAATACAATGTTCCTTCTCTTAGTTCTTCAGTCCTTTTCGGTTTTGGCCTAGTTGGGAATGTGTTGTAATAAGACTAGGTAATAATCAATAGATGTAGTGGAAAAAATAGAAATCGATGCTTGTTATAACCGCTTATTAAGGCCCTTCGTACACAAAGCAACGTAAATCGTCGAAACTAGTATTGTATTGCGTCGCGATAATCGTCTATTCGGTCAGGACAGACATAGTAAAAACATGTTAGTTGTATGGATTTACTTCGTCATCCTGAAAATTGCAGCTATTTTCTCACAACGATCTTACCAAGCAGATTGCAAATGACTGTCCTTGGCAATGACAAATAGAAATGTCGACGATTTGCGCAGTGCACGAACCTCTATATTGTATTGCGTAGCCTAGCTATTAAAATCCTCAGTTTTTAAAGCTTGTCGTTGCCTGTACGACAGCCCTTAGAGTAAACATCGCGCAGTGACGTGAATTGATCCGATATAGCTCGAGTCATTTGGTACAAAAATGTAATTAAGGGATTACACGTTGTTTTAATTTCAAACATTTTCAGTTATTCTTAATTACACTTTTGGAAATGGTTATTACTTAGTTATTGATAGATATTGTTGAACTTTTAAGTACAAGCATACTCCTTTATTGTCATCCTTTTAGTTTCGGTTGTACGAAAATGAAAATTTTAAGTGAAATTTTGCATTAGAATTTCATTTTTTAGTAGCATAAAGGAATATCTAAACTTATTTAATATTAGAAATGTTTAGATGGATGTATGTATGGGCGGAATGATTTTTGAAGGTATCTCCAGAACGGCTCAACGTATGTAGGTGAAATTTGGCACGGATGTAAGACATAGTCTGGAAAAACACATCGATTACTAGTTAAGTTTTAAATTCCGCGCGGACGGAGTCGCGGGCGACAGCTACTTTTAACTACATTTAACTAAATCAAGTGATACCAGGCTTAACATTTGTTTATCGTAAACTTTAAAACGCATATATAATTTAATATTTTTGGTGACATAATATTATTATGACACAATATTTTATCAGTAGTAGCATACGTGACTGGTGAAATTTGAAATTCAAACCAGTCCAGTCAAACTTGGTTAAATAATACGGTTTGACTTCATGGAACTATTGGGCTCGCAAATTGAGTTTTGTTCCGGCGATTCTATTGATAGTCTGCAACATTAATAACTGTCACTGCAGTGCGTCACGTCATCATTTGTTTGATGTCAACACACTTCCGCTGGTTCCTTAACCAGTCTTATGCCAGATCCATAAGAGAAACAGAGTGAAGCAGAGCAATAGATAAAGCAGTATTACAATTCGATAAATGCACACATACTCTGTGTTTCTAGTGTAGAAACATTTGCATAAAAGCATATTGTCATCCTTGTCATTTGGTAAGAAAAAACTAGGACAACAATATTGTTTTTTAATGCAGGTAACAGCGTTACAATTTACAGTTATTATCAACACACAATTGTTTTCTTACGACATGTATTTAAAACAATAGCAGTACTGCATTGTCTACTGCTCTGGCTCACTATTTCGCCCTCGTGTGAAACTACGAAATCATTAACGAAAGTCAGTTGCCAATCTGAAATCATTACCAAGAATTTAAAACAAATAAACATTCTTGACGAATTTTGTGGATACATTTTAACTGTAAATATACTCGACAATTATCTGTCTATATTTAAGAAGACATTATAAATTATTTTGGTATTTTATAGCTTCATTGCTTTAAACAAGGCATCGCTAATTTGTGTCATTTAAGGTGGTATCGTGGTCGTATACAAAAAGAAGATTCAATGCCCATAACGGACGAGTTTGTATGCGTCGATATAATATTATTTATCTTACCAATATTATAAATACGATTGTTTAGACGCATGGATGGATGTTTGACTCCGAAACGGCTGCATGGATCATGTTGAAATTTGGCATCGATGTAGAACATAGTCTGGACGTTATAAACTACTTATTTTGTTTTTTAATCTCGCGCGGACAGACTCGCGGGCGACATATAGTTTAAAAATAAAAATAAAAATGATTTCCATGAAAAAATCCTTTATGAATTATATTATATTGAGGTTGAGACTAACTGAAATAGAATTAATAAAATTAGCATTAAATTAATATGAAATGGAATACATATAGCAAATAATATTTGTAGCACTTATCAAGAACAAAATAGTATAATTAACAATATTTCTAGTCGGCAGAGAGTAATATCAAACGTTTCATTGAACATATCACCCACCAAATGGGATCGAAGCCTGTTAGATTGCGGGGTGTGCGGGAAGCCGATCTGTCGATACGTGATTAACTTGTACTTCGTTACTCGCATCGACGAGATTCTTCATTTATAATATAACTAGCAATGACCCACAGTGTTTCTCGTAATATCCTTAAATAATTTTGATTCTTAATATTTAAGAAGCGTCTAAGGTTTGGTACATAATACCAATTAAATTTTAGAAATCCGGGGATTTAAGTCGCCACAGGCATGCGTTGCAGACATTTTGGTGTCGTGAAAAAACTTCCTTTGATGTAAGAAATGCCTGTACTGACCGAGCAGACGACTGGCGTCAAAGATTTAACGTTGTGGATACTCACGACATCAGGATACATTATTCGTTTCGGAGATTTACTTTGCTTTGTGTAAGAAGGGCCTAATGTTTAAGGGTCAACATCAAATAAGACTTGTATATTATAATTATCGATTAAGATGAACAAACTTATGTTATAAATAGTGAGAAGATAGGAAGGTGATACTAAGAGAAGATGTACCGACTACATTACATACTACATAAGATATATACACACAAATACATCGAAAGATTTCTATATACCATCAACAATATATACAATATATGTGTTCTTTCCCGATCATTGAGGTAATCAATTAGAGTTTGGTATTCGCAATTTTATATTTAGCAATGGTGAACGGCCGTACGCAAAAATAGACAGTGATATCGCCTTGGCTACTCTTCAATTCACATATCAGAATCTTTTGTATTGTTGACTTAAATATGTTATAGATTATTTATTCTTTAGTTAAATCTTACTATAAAGAAATCGGCTTATAAATATAACATATTTAAAGAGAATTTTGTTTGTAAAATATCTCACAGACTGCCTGGAGATCGACCAACTCAACAATCGCCCACGCGGTATTAGACATCTTGTGATTTCTCAAAGGAAAAGAATGAACGTGAATAACCTTACTTGCATAGTACCTGGGCTTTGGTATTACAGTGATGCAACGACCAAATATCCAACGGCATTGTCTCAAATTCCAAGAGAGAATTGTACAAAAAGTTACCAAATGGCAAGAATATTTAGTACTTAAGGACGAGAATTCAATTGTTTTTACAAGGAATAGGAGAGTCATTTTTTTTATAATATCATAAGGTGGCAAGCGAGCGAGCGGCCACCTGAAATCGCTGAAATAGCGAAGTGACCGTTGCCCATAGACATACGGAATTGCAGATGCACCGCATACATTTAATCGACGGAGGACAGATGCACAGAAAGAGAATATTTTGCCTTCCCATGCATCCTTTTGTTCGGAAAATCCATTTCCAATTCCTATCCTTTCCTTATAAGAATACTAAAATTAAGCCACCGGGACGAACTCTCATCAAACGAAACGCGGAATTGCTTCCACTTTACGCCTGTCTTGTGTGTGGACATCGCATTGCAACGAACCGGCCAATTCGTGGGAAGATGTTAAAGCGGACTCTACCACTGTTAAATAATTGTCAAGGAGAGGTTCACATCTGGTTAATCTCTTTCACACCCTTTCTCTTATGAATTAATGGAATCATTAAGTATTAGGGTTATGCATTATATTAACTATGTCAAGTATCGGCAGTGCAGATCAAAAACAGCATTGCATATGGTCAATACCAAGATATAATTCAGTCGAATTTATCGTGAATGGAATGCACGGCCTTAGCAATGGAACAACATTAATTATCAAAGAGGGATACGTCTATAAGGGTAAGTAATTAAATTCCGTTCAAAGCAATTGCCTAACTTTATTGCATGGTTCAAAATGGTGTATTTTGTATGTATGTAAATTTAAAAAAATATTGTCTAGCAATTTATTAGAAATAATATTGGCTTTCTCTTCTCATATTTAGCTATTACCTTTACCTTATGCACTTAATAAAGTTTAATCTGTCCAATTGGCCGCAAGTAAAATCTTTCAATTATAATATATCACTACTCAATAAAATAATCCTGGTAAAGCGCTATTTTAAACGTTATAGGAAAGAAAGGGAGAAATTTTAATAATTTAAAATTAGTAAATTCCAGGAAGAAAACTATAAAGTTTTTTTTCTATTTTAAATAGCTTTTGGATTTTTAGTGGTCAATTTTTTAAGCTCAGAGAAATTAAAAACTTTTTTGTTTACATGCATGCGTACAAGACAGCTGTAGTGCCGTGATATCAGAGTTTATCAGGCAGTGTTGGCTCGCCGCCGCTATGGAACGCACGCGGCGTCCACTCCGCGTCTCTTGCGTGTCTCGCGAACGTGTTTACTAAACTTTTTTAACTAAGAGGTAAGCATTTTAAATATTTATAAATAATATTTTGAATATTTTACTTAATTTAAGTTTGTATTTTAAGCATTATATTTAAAGTCATAATTTAAAGGAAATTTTATATCTTTAAATGAGCAATTCTTGTATACATAATTGGAATCTCGGAATCGGCTCCAACGATTTTCAAAAAGATTAGTATATAGGGGGTTTCGGCGGCGATAAATCGATCTAGCTAGGAATCATTTTTAGAAAAAGGCCTTTTTTCGTGTTTTATCGATAATCAACTTAAACATAAACTTAACTTTTTCTATCGGTAAGATCGGAAAATATTATTCATATTTCATCATTTTATTAGTCATTCGTACTTAAATATAATTTCCAAGAAACACAATTAAAAAAAAAATACCGAGCAAAGCTCGGTCATCCAGGTACTTTTAATATTAAGCAACAATTAACTTGTTTGACAATTTAATATACAGTTTAAGTGTATAAAGCTAATATTGTTTGGTTTATATTCTGTTAGGTATATAAGTATTATTAAAACTGAAATTAATGTAAAATGAGGTGTTAAGTTTTTTATTTTACCGGACTAACTTAAGTAACATTATATTTTTAATTAATATAAAATATTGTTTTTTTTTTAAATGCACAATATAATTGAATAATAAAATGTAAGAACGAATTAACGAAATAATTTTTAAATTAATTAGTTATAAAACAGTTAGCTATTAATTACACATTAATTTAATTAAAAACCTACATGTCTTAAATTTAACTGTAAAATGTTTATTTTTTCAAATAGACGTTTTAAATTAGATTTTTATCAGTGAATAACCTAAAACGAATGTCTCTAATTAAGACGTGCGTACCACTTGATTGACAAAATAAATTGGCAATCGTCAAACTTTGACCATTATTCTCAGGCTTCCAATTCTTTTGTCTAGCTCTGCTGGGTTTTAATAAAGACGAAAGTTTTAGAAGTCACCCGTTCAATTATTATTCGGTTCATTTGTAACGTCATTACGTTGTATCTCAGCCTAATGAACTCGCTTTAATGTTTCGATATTGACATTGCAATTTTTATTATAATCTTTTCAATCGCTTATGTTTAATAGTTGCACGACTTACTTATAAATACAAAAATTTTGATGGAAGTTTGTTTGATGGTATCTCTAGATCGGCTGCATAGATCTTGCTGAAATTTGGCATAGATGTAGAGCATAGGAAGAACAGATAGGCTACTAAGTTTTTTTTTAATTCCACGCGAACAGAGTCCTGACAGCGACAGCTAGTATTATAAATTCAAATGCGAAAGTTTAGATGGATGGATGTTTGAAGGTATTTCCGGTACGGCTGTATGAATCTTGGTGAAGTTTGACATAGATGTAGAACAGAGTCAGGAAAAACAGATAGGCTACTAAGTTTTTTTTAATTCCACGCGAACAGATTCGCGGGCGATAGCTAGTATTATAAATTATATGCGAAAGTTTAGATGGATGGATGTTTAAAGATATCTCCATAACAAAAGGCATGGATCTCGCTGTGACTTGGTACAGATGTAAAACATAGTCTGGAAATACGCATAGGCTTAAGTTTTTTTTAATTCTGCGCGGACGCTGGCGACAGCTAGTTTCTTTATAAAATTTAACGTATTAATTTACCTGCAATAAATCTGTGCACTCAATTAAACTCAATTTACGTAATCGATTCGAAATTTAAAAATCTGTGCGACGATTGCTACACATTCGAAATGTCACATAGTTTAATTGGTGGTGTTATACGCTACAACATTGTCAGGTGTGTGTCAGGTACTCGAGTGGCCTGTACAGTCGCCGTCGTTGGCAGTATTCCACTTACAAAAATTGCCTTACATCCCGTAACGAATTTAAACTCTTCCTTAAAAAATAATCATTATAAACAATATCGATGATTGAATCAAAGAATAGGTTTTATGCAATTTTATTTACCTTGATTATTGTATAACTTAGAATAGACTATTGCCTTATAATATTTTGCCTTAACTTTTGAAGGCAGACCTTACATGTACAGGTAACTGTGGTTTTCAACTGCAATGATACTTATATTACAGTTTAACGTGGATTGGATAAGCGCGAAACCTCTATAAGCGACAACCATTGTCCAGTTTCGACGGACGACCTCTATAAGTGAGAAACTTGGGTTGGAGAAAAATAAGTAAGAAAATATTACGGTTCCTTGGACTCCCGGTCATCCAGATTCTTTTGCAATTATTGCAATTTCTGTTTTGTCAAAGATAGTGAGAGGAATGACAATTTATATTAATATGTTAGTTCTGTGGAATCCTGTGTTCGTTTAAAAGATTTTCGACAGTAGTTGTATACCGCTAATGAAGGTGATTGTACATTCCGTTGAGTACGCACCTGACCGCTAGTCGGCTACGTGTCCGCACATCGCTTGCATGACGTGACCGAAATCATTACTCACTGACAACCAGTGCAATCGTGTTTTAGTCACCTCATTGCCAAATTATAGCAAAGTTTTGACTTTGTTTTCCGTATCATAAAAAATAATAAAAGATAAGAAAAGTTTGAGTAGGATATGTTTTAAATTCGTTATCAAAAAAGTGTTGTGTGTATACATCTTAATACTTGGATACAGATGAAATAATATTTCATTAAATATGTAGATTTGACTGACTTGTTTCCGAACGCATAGTTACTTTTAAAGGTAAAACTATTATTAATAGAATAAAAAGTACTTTAATATTTATTGAACAAATAACAAAGTTTCACTAATTTCTTCGAAGTGAAAAACTTAGTGAGCTATAACTAATTTCTCCTGGAGATACTTTTACTAATATTTTAAGATTCGATTAATACGTGAACAGTTTATTTAAATTACAGAGCATATTTAGAAATAATTAGTTCTTCACAATTTAATCTTACTAATATTATAAATGATAGAGTTTAAATGGATGGCTGGATGTTTATTAGAAGGTACCTTCAGAACGACTTAATGGATCTTGATAGAATTTGGTATAGATGTAGAACATAGTCTGGAAGAACACATAAGCTACTAATTAAGTTTTTTTTTTAATTCGCAAATGGGACCGCTGCGATAGCTAGAAAATTGTTAAAATTAAATATAAGTCGTACCCTTTAACACGCATAAACGAGTACAACAAAAATAAATAGGTCAAAGCAGTCAATTTTGGGAAGGCAGAATGTGTTAAGAAGGCACGTTCGGCAATACACAACGAACAGTCAGTGTCCAATTTAATTTACGGAAATGGGTACTGGATATGGCAAATAATCGTGCGAAACGAATCGAATCTAGACAAACTGTAATAAAAACAACTGGATAAGAACATCGGATGAGAGGGTCAATTTTAATACTTAGTTTCTTGTAAAACTATTTAGGATATTACGAATACATGGATAATACAAAGGTTTATTTACGGTGGGTTTCTAAGCCTAAAACAACTATACAAAATCATATAGGTACCTTTATTTTTTCAAAGAAAATTTGTGCGTGTTTCAACAATGGAAACGCACGTTTATAATACACAAAACCTCTTCAGATGTGTTATTAAATAACTAGAGGATTTTTTGTCTCTGCCTACTCTTTATAAGTATAGAGATAAGCAATCATGAAGATTTGCATCAATGTTCATAAATTTTGTTATAAAAAAAAGTTCATAAATGTATTATAACTATGGCCAGTTAATAAAGCAAACCTTTCATCGTGAAGACATTATGTTATAAACGTCTACAAGGTTAAATGTATAAGTCAAGATTTTGTTCGTAACATTGTGAGAATTATTTGGGTATACTACCTAAATTGATTCCTTGATTTTGGTCTTATATCATTCATCGGCCCAAATATCAAAGTTCTAACATATGAAAAACTTACTAATCTCAGTTTTCGTTCAGTTTAGTAGTTTTGGTACTTATAAGTTGTTCGTCCTGGATACTATTCAATTAAACAATTAAATACAAAAAGAAATGAAAATGATAACTAATATTGTATTTAAAGTGTAAGGCTACAGAATCACAAGAGAACACCTCGATTATCGCTACTTCAGAATAATACAAATCAATTTCGAAAAATTGTCCTTATAAAGAAATAAATTATATTCAATCGACCATAACACTGTTGTTTTTATAATACAAAACGCTTCTAATAATTGTTAATGCACATTTTATTCACCCCGCGTTGGCCAAATGATTTTCACAGATAAAATAAATACTACTGTGTCCATGTTTTTACAGTATTTTTTTAAATAAATTTTTTAAAAACTTTGTCATTGTTAAAACAAATAATGATAACACATTTAAGATCTTACATTTATTCTTTAGAATAACTACTAATACTAATTTACTAGTTGCCGCTTGCGACACCGTCCAAGCGAAATTAAAAAAAATAATTAGTAGCCTATGTGTTTTTCCAGATTATGTTCTACATCCATGCGAAATTTCATCAAGATCCGTTGAGCCGTTCTGACGATACCTACTAACAAACATCCATCCATCCATCCAAAAATTTGTATTTATAATATTAGTAAGATTACATAAGTATGTAAACTAAGCAAGCAGTATTGAGTCTTCTAAATATTTTCAAATATTTTGTGTTTCGCTGTAGTCAGACTAGGTAACATAAACACGTCTGTCTTTATGTGAAAAATGTGCCAATTGAAAATGTTTGCTACAATATCTTTGTCTTACAAATAGTATATCATCAAGACCGAGAATAACCATATTACCTTCCGCGCAAAAACAAAACAAGTTCAACGGCGTCTATTCTTACCATTGTTCTGCAAATAAGATTAAAACAAATGCTTACTGAAAACTACACAATGTTTGCAAAATTTTTGAAAGCTAACAATACAAAAGTCTCCTTGAAAAACTTTGTTGGAAAGATTGAACGGACATTATATTTCAGTCTTGTTCAACGGATAACAAAAGTAGAAATTGACAAGATAAAAAAAATGTCAAACAATTGAATTAATTTCTATTTTAAATGGCAGACAATATTTGCGA